CGTTTCGCCTACACAGTAGGCTTCTTCAGTCGAGTACAGCAAAGTTGATAGAAGCAGAAGAGACTTGAAGACGATGTAATCAGTCCATCACCCCTAAAGTTTTGAGGTGGTCAGTCCCTCAGTCTGGAGAAGAGTATTGTTCCATTGTCTGAAATAATATCAACCATCGCTACTATGTTGGCCAACAAAAATGCAATCAAGGAAGCTGTTGTTGCAAAAGGTGCAAATATGTTTACAAAACAGAGATCGCAAATACTTGAAGATGTGGAGAGACTGTTGTTGGCGTGGATCAACGAGAAACAATTATCAGGATATAGTGTTTCAAAGTCAATTATATGTGAAAAGGCAATGCAGTTGCATGATGATCTCATTAAGAAAATGCCTGGAACTAGTGCTCATACTGGTGAATTTAAGGCCAGCAAAGGTTGGTTTGAGAGATTTAAGAATCGTAGTGGCATACACAGTGTGATAAGGCATGGTGAGACTGCCAGTTCTGACAAAAATTGTGGCATTGGGAAAGTCCATGGGGTTGGATGTGAGTTTGGAGGATGTGGAAGAGTTGGTGGAGGACGACGATGAAAAGCTAACCACTACAGAGTTGCAAGAGCTTGAGGTGCAACAGCAACAGACCACAGCTCAGGAATTTCCTTCAGAGGAAGAGGAAGAGAGATGGAGGAAGGTGCATTCTTCAAATATTAACCCTTAAACGGTTCAAACAGATCGACGTTCAAATTCGTATTGCTACAAAAGTAGATCTACTTTTTTTTACATATTTTCAAATATAACAAAAAAAATTGTAGATAAAAGTTTTTTTACACGTTTTTAAATGTAAAACAAAAAAGAAGATCTGCATTTTTTTACATACTTTCAGATGTTGAAAAAACGTATATATACGTTTGGACCATTTAAAGGTTAAGGACATTTATAGATGAACATCACACTGACACAGTTGTTGCAGGCCATGCTGGCAACATCTACAATGACAATGTTGTGTCCCATTTTAGGGAAATCTTAAAGACAGGCCAAAAACAGAGCTCTCTGGACAGATTTCTGGTGCAACACGGATCCAGTGACTCTCAAGCTGGTCCTAGTGGCATCAAAAAACAAAGGGAAGTAACCCCAGAAAAGGACTTGGTACCTGAAGTCTTTATGGAAGGGGATTCCCCTTCTAAACAATAGTGTACCTTCATCCTCTCCCCTCCTGTCTTCCATCCACCCAGAAGTCTTCAATAAAGGTAAGTGTAACGTTATTATTATTTATGTAAGTATGTACTTGATTTCTCATTGTTTTTTGTATGTAAATCTTTATTTAATTTGTTTTTTTTTTTAATATTTTTGGGTGTCTGGAACAGATTAATTGGAGTTCCATTATTTCTCATGGGAAAAATGGTTTCGCCATTCGTGAATTTCAACTTTCAGCAGATTCTCTGGAACAGATTTATCACAAAACTCAGGGGTCCACTGTATAGTTTTTATGACTGTATTCTCGGTTTCTTGGTCTCATTTGATAGAATAAAAGATATATTACAGAAATAGAGATGACTTTGGTTTCATTTTAAATTTTTATTCTCACAAAAAAATAGAAGATTTACTGTAATGCAGACTAATGCATTTTTGTAATAACTGTATAAATAATGTCAGTGCATTCCTAAATGCGTATTAGACTGGCCAGTTGGACAAGCATCGGACAAGTGACGTCACTTGTGTACTCTGGAATATTGGCAAAAATCCAGGAAGCTGGGCTCTGGGATCTTGTTTGCACGAAGAGAAGTCTTTTTGGGGCCCCCAGAGCCCAGCTTCCTGGGTGGTACGGTGCCAGGTGAGAGTGAGGCAGCTCTTTCTTGAGGTTGTAAATTGCCATCCTCGTCACCATCAGGTCTGCGGTTACCCTGCTCTAATAGAGTGAGTGCACGAGTCTTCTCTGCAATTAAAAGTTCAGTTTGACCCATTCTGACCACTTGGAGCAGAGATATAGCATGGCAAAGTTAACGGTCGAGTAAAAAAGGGGCACTGAGGAACAACGTAGCAGGTTTCCTTCCTCACCAAGTTCTGTCAGAGCACTGAAGCATGGCATGGTGGGGAACAATGGAGCAAGACGGGCTCCAGTACACAAGCTCCACCCACTATTCCTATGGCAGAACTGCAAGTGAAATGTCTGCACCAAAATCTTGTGTATAGATTTTTTTGCAATGGACATGTACTGATTTGTTTTGCGTGCACTGTACATAAGGCCCATGTTGGACTACGCAGCACCAGTTTGGCCAACACATCAGGAAATTAGGTTTGCAACAAGACTAGTCCTAGAGTAAAGGGGCACATCCTACAAGGAGAGGTTAAAGGAAATTGGCCTGATAATACTGAAGGACAGGAGAGACATGATAACAACATATAAAATACTGAGAGGAATCGACAAGGTGGACAGAGACAGGATGTTTCAGAGATGGAACACACCAACAAGGGGTCACAATTGGAAGATGAAGACTCAGATGAGTCACATGGAAGTTAGGAAGTATTTCTTCAGTCAAAGAGTTGTCAGGAAGTGAAATAGTCTGGAAAGTGATGTAGTAGAGGCAAGAACCATACATAGCTTTAAGAAGAGGCATGATAAAGCTCACAGAGCAGGGAAAGAATGACCCAGTAGCAACCAGTGAAGAGGCAGGGCCAAGAGCTATGTTTTGACCCCTGCAACCACAATTAGTTGAGTACACAAGTGACCACCAGAGGGCTGGGAAGCAGTCCATGATCAAAAGAGTGCTTACTGTCCATTACTGACTTGAACCTATTCAAGTATACTGCCCCAATGCAAACCATCAGCAAACTAAGTGTCATGCCATTCACCCGACAATACCTCCACTCACAATTCACAACTCACAGAGCAGACAGCAAAACCAGCAGTGAATAAATGAGAACACATGTACAGGAGGGGCCCATTTTCATGGCTGTTATGCTCCTGATCCCTGGTGATAAATGAACATTGCTGGCAGATGGAAGTTGTTTTTTTCAACAATGAATGCATCTAAAATGCCTGATATGATTACACTGTTATTTATACATTAAGTGCCCAATACAGCTAGGCATAAAATGAACTGTTATGAAAAATGTAAAATAAACACACAGTACATACAATACTCACCCCAAACTGTTGTGCAAAAATTGCAGAGAAGTGGAAAAAGCACCTAACATAATGAATAACGGCTCATCTGAAAACCACAGAAAATGTGGAACACCGAAAAGAGGATGCTGAATATGTGGGGCCCTTCTGTATTTCACGATATTACAAAGGAGTAGAACCTCCCAGTTTAACTCTATCCACTACTAAAGAGGCTTCGTGCCCATCAAAGAGGTGCAGCCACAGGGGCAGGCTCAACAGCCAGGTAGCTGTACTGATGTAGCCCTCTCCCTAGCTGATTTTGAAAAAGCCATCTACAGCACGCCCTTGCATTCTGCCCTATGTCCCAAGTCATGGAATTCCATACTCATCAAAAATTGTAAGAGACCACTATCTTCAGTATTTAGTACATAATGGAGGACTCTGGATACAGGTGTTGTTTTACAGTCACAGAAAAAAACACCGATATTACCCAACTACACAAGGGAGGCAGTAAAGCGATTACAAAAAACTACAGACCAATAGTCCTAACTTCACACATTATCAAAATATTTCAATGGGTCCCAAGAAACAAAACTGCTCACATGGAATCACAACAATTCCACAATCCTGGGCAGAATGGGTTTAGGGCAGGTAGCTCCTGCCTTTCACAACTGCTTGAGGATTATGATGCAATCCTAGATGCGCTGGAAGACAAGCTAAATGCTGATGCAGTCAACACAGATTTTTCAAAAGCATTTAGCGAGTGAGACCATGTATATTTGACTTCTAAACAAATAGAACCCAGAGTGTAGTAGTAATCAGTCAAGTCGTAGGCTGCCACAGTGAAAAGTCGTTTCTCAAGGCACATTACTCGCCCCACTTCTTCTCATTATATCTGACATGGACATAAATCATACCAATGTAACATCCTTTGCTGATGACACCAGATGAAGACAGTGAATTTTCAGGCAGATATAAATATAAATCAAGTCTTCCAGTGGGCCTCAAACATGATGTTTAACGATACCAAGTTTCAGTTGCTCTATTATGGAGGAAATAAGACTACTGTATAATGGAGTACAAGAGAAACTCAGATCATTCAATAGAGCAAAAGTCTCATGTGTAAGACCTGGGAGCAGTGATGTTGGTAGATATCACATTTATGAATCACAACAATGTTGCCACTGCATCTGCAAGAAAAATCTTAAGCTGGATATCTCCAGGCCAGAATAATGCATCAGTAAAATAGGCAAAGCTATGAAACTTGGAGAAGAGAACAAAGAAAAAGTACCACATGATGGAAAATAAACTTAATGAAACAGTTCAAGAAGTCATTATATACAACACAACCTCACATGTGCCACCCATTCCTAAGTATGTGGCACCTGCATGAAACCCTTATTCAGTTATTGAGAAAGAATGCATAAGCTGGGCCTTTCATCATTGAAGAAACAAAGAAATTGAGAAAATATGATTCAAAACATTTAAAATATTGAAGCATAAACAAGGCAGACAAGAACAGATGTTTACTTAAGGATTAAATAAGATGTTATCAAGGTTGGATAATGCACACAAAAATGAGTCCCAAGACATTAGAAGATATTTATTCAACCAAGAGTGGTAAACAAGTGGCACGACATGAACAATGACAAGAGTGAAGGCAGACTCCATACTAGAACGTTTTTCATCACAAAGACGCGAAATACTGGAATAGGTCTATAACGAGTATGAAATATGGTAGATTAAATGCTAAAGACTAAATACCATGAGCATAGCTCTATTGTTGTAACTACACATAGGTAATCACCATATAAGGTGATGAATAAGATACATGTATAGTTTTATTGAAAATTATTTTGAATAGCTTTGGACCTAGGATAATCATTTAACCAGAAAATCTAGTACTTACACTGTCTGGAATCCACATAATTTTTGTAGTTGGATAAGGATGATCAAAAGTAGAACGAACAACAAATTCCGAAGTGTCCTCATCCAACTGAACAATTTGAACTTTATTGTTGTACTCTTCCACAAAACTTCCTACTGCCAGCCTGTATGTGAAACAAAACATTGTTCATTTTTATGAAAGATTACTATATTTCCAAAAAAAAGGTCTAAAAATAAAAAATAAAATATAGAATCAAAATTCAAAGTACATACTAGAAATATAAAAATAATATTAAAGCCTCATATTGAAGGTATGTTACTTCACAGGTGAAAGCAAGCAAGTTAAGGTATTGTCAGTGGAGTACTGTACTAGAGTTTGGGCCACTTACTTATAGTATGTACTTGTACTAGCATACCATACTGTGTTTTGTTGCTGATAATATTCAGTGAACAGAAATTACATTTCTTTATGTTCTTTAATAGGGATCATGGAGTTCCCACATTATGTTAACCCTAACCTCATCTCTAAAGTCCTGGTAATGTATGTGATACTCTATTATGCCCTCACCAGTATCCATTTAATGGTTGTTGGCCGAATCTTCTGGTATACAAGCACGAGGTAAGGCTGGGCCACCTACCCAAATTCAGTTATGGTCCGAAAACAAGAGATGAGGTGGAAAAAAATGGTCCCCGTAAAGAACAAAAAGGCACGATACTGTGACTGGACTTTGTAAATGGTTCAAGTCGGACTGAAACGTCATCGTAATCCCCTCTCTTCTTTGTGAAGGTTATCTGTGCATGGTTCCCACCACAGAATGTTGATTTTCATGATTAACCCTTTGACTGTCGCAAGCCCCTTTCTGAAACTGTCATTCTATGTCGAAAAATTTTTTGGAAAAAAAAAAAAAAAAAAAAAAATCTTATGAAATGATAATCTTTTTCCGATGGTAATGACACCAAAACTACGAAATTTGGTAGAAAACTCACAGAATTACGCTCCCGTGAAGTTAGCGGTCTCAGCGGCACCTGTGCATCGGCAATTTTGCCGACTTTGAGCCCCATTTTTGGCCAATTGCACTGCTCCAGTTGACCAAACTCATAGCTATTTCTTTAGAACTCCATTTTTTCTATCAACTGATTACAAGAAACTGCCCATTTACTGATTTCAACTACCTAATAAAGTGGTCAGAAATTGGCAATTTGGCCAATTTCATGCAAATTAACCCTTTGGGGGTCGCCAGGCCCTCTCAGAGACTTGTTCTCGGGGTCGCCAAAATTTAAAAAAAAAGAAAGAAAAAAATTTTCTTATGAAAAGACAGAGAATCTTTTCCCGATCATAATGACATGAAAAGTATGAAATTTGATGAAAAACTTACGGAAATATGCTCTTGCAAAGTTAGCGGTCTCGACGATGTTTATGCATCGGCGATTTTGCCCACTTTGAGCCCTATTTTCGGCCAATTCCAATGTACTAGTCGACAAAAATCATAACTATTTCACTAGAACTCCATTTTTTCTATCGAATGAGTAAAAGAAACCACCCATTTACCGATTTCAACTATCCAATAAAGTGGTCAGAATTTAGCAATTTTGCCAATTTTACACAAATTTCAAAAGATGCCAATTTCCAAATAGGGTCCAGAATAAACAAGAAAGACATTCATGGCACCAAAATAACAAGTTCTCTGTTCGTTAGTCACATCCCCAGGCCCCTCTTATATTTCTTTGGCTTTCCACTTTGAATTTTTATTCTTACAAAAAATAGATGATTTACTGTTAAGCAGACTACTGCATTAGTGTAGAAATAGTATAAATAATATCAGTGCACTTGTGAAAGAACATTAGACTCACCAGTTGACGTGTATTGCACGCTTAGCATGATTTGTTTACTTTTGAACTTCGGTAAAAATCAAACATTTCTGCTACTTTGAGCTCAATTTCAAGGTACTTTTCATTGTAAAACCAGTCAAAATCATCTCAATTTCTGTAATAAGTCTTCCATTCTATAAAATGTGACCAAGAAAGCTAGAATACAACAATAAATCCCATACGAAAATGCAGTGCAAAGTCGCTGTTTTATTCCAAAAACACGGTCAAAGTTTTTTTTTATCATTACGCACTGTGTTGCAGGATGTTTTATATACTGCGCACACTGACCACATAGACCCATTCTTTCATATGTAGCCCTACCAGCTTTCTCTCACTAGATTTGAGGGCGCTAGAATTTAGGTGTACTAGTACGTCAAAAACCCTGGGGCGTAAGCCGTACTAGTATGGCCGAAACCCCAAAGGGTTAAAAAAATATGCTAATTTCACAATAGGGTCCAGAATAAACAATGTAGACATTCTTGGCACTAAAATAACATATCCTCTGTTCATCAGTCACGTCTCTAGGCCCCTCTTATATTACTATTGCTTTCTATATTGATCTTTTATTTATTCAAAAAATAGAAGATTTACTGTTATGCAGACTACTGCATTATTGTAAACATGGTATAAATAATATCATTGCACTAGTGAAAGAATATTAGACTCCCCAGTTGACGTGTATTGGATGTGTGGTGTGATTTGCTAACTCTTGAACATTGGTAAAAATCGAACATTTCTGCTACTTTGAGCTCAATTTCAAGGTCCTTTTCATCGTAAAACTAATCAAAATCACCTCTATTTCTGTAACTGTTTTCCATTTTATCACATAAGACCATGAAAACGAGAATACAACAATAAATACTACACGAAAATACACATCAAAGTCAGCGTTTCAATCCAAACAAACGGTTGGAGTTTTTTTCTTCTCATTATGCACTGACTGCTGCAGGATTTTTTTTATATGGTGCACACTGACCACACAGACCCATTCTCTCACATGTGGACGTACCAGGTTTCTCCTGCTTGATCTGAAGCCGCTAGAATTATTGAGTATATATACATCCGAAACACTGGCTCGTAAGACGTATATACAGTGGACCTCCGCATAACGATGGCATCACATAGCGATTTTTCCGCATACCGATTACTTTTATCGCAAAATTTTTGCCGCGCATACCGATTAAAAACCCGCTTACCGATTTTCGTCCGAGACGCGTCCAATGTGCCCTCAGCCAGCCTCACATGTGCCGGCCGTCCCATTGTTTACCAGCCAGCCTCCGCGGTAACATCCAAGCATACACTCGGAATATTTCGTATTATTACAGTATTTTCGGTGCTGTTTCTGGAAAATAAGTGACCATGGGCCCCAAGAAAGCTTCTAGTGCCAACCCTACACCTCAAAGGGTAAGAATTACTATAGAAATGAAGAAAGAGATAATTGATAAGTATGAAAGTGGAGTGCGTATAGCCGACCTAGTCAAGCTGTACAAGAAACCCCAATCAACCATCGCTACTATTGTGGGCACCAGAAAGACAATCAAGGAAGCTGTTCTTGCCAAAGGTTCAACTGTGTTTTCGAAACAAAGATCGCAAGTGATGGAAGATGTTGAGAGACTCTTATTGGTGTGGATAAATGAAAAACAGCTAGCAGGAGATAGCATCTCTCAAGCGATCATATGTGAAAAGGCTAGGAAGTTGCATGAGGATTTAATTAAAAAAATGCCTGCAACTAGTGATGATGTGAGTGAATTTAAGGCCAGCAAAGGTTGGTTGAGAGATTTAAGAAGCGTAGTGGCATCCATAGTGTGATAAGGCATGGTGAGGCTGCCAGTTCGGACCACAAAGCGGCTGAAAAATATGTGCAGGAATTCAAGGAGTACATAGAAACTGAAGGACTGAAACCTGAACAAGTGTTTAATTATGATGAAACAGGCCTGTTCTGGAAGAAAATGCCAAGCAGGACCTACATTACTCAGGAGAAAAGGCACTCCCAGGACATAAGCCTATGAAAGACAGGCTTACTTTGTTGATGTGTGCCAATGCTACTGGTGATTGCAAAGTGAAGCCTTTATTAGTGTATCACTCTGAAACTCCCAGAGCGTTCAGGCAAAAGAATGTCCTCAAGGATAATTTGTGTGTGCTGTGGAGGGCAAACAGTAAGGCATGGGTCACTAGGGAATTTTTCTATAACTGGTTACACCATGCATTTGCCCCCAATGTGAAAAATTACCTAACTGAAAAGAAATTAGAACTTAAGTGCCTCCTGGTGTTAGACAATGCCCCTGGTCATCCTACAGACGTGGCAGAGCGACTTTATGGGGACATGAGCTTCATTAAGGTGAAGTTTTTGCCTCCTAATACCACGCCTCTCCTGCAGCCCATGGACCAGCAGGTTATTTCCAACTTCAAGAAACTGTACACAAAAGCTCTGTTTGAAAGGTGCTTTGTAATGACCTCAGAAACTCAACTGACTCTAAGAGAGTTTTGGAGAGATCACTTTAATATCCTCAATTGTGTAAACCTTATAGGTAAGGCTTGGGAGGAAGTGACTAAGAGGACCTTGAACTCTGCTTGGAAGAAACTGTGGCCAGAATGTGTAGACAAAAGGGATTTTGAAGGGTTTGAGGCTAACCCTGAGAATCCTGTGCCAGTTGAGGAATCCATTGTGGCATTGGGAAAGTCCTTGGGGGTTTGGGGGTTAGTGGGGAGGATGTGGAAGAGTTGGTGGAGGAGGACAATGAAGAACTAACCACTGATGAGCTGATAGATCAACTTCAAGAGCAAGAGGCCAGACCTGGGGAAACTGGTTCAGAGGAGGGGAGAGAGAAATTGAAGAAGTTGCCTACTACAAAGATAAAGGAAATCTGTGCTAAGTGGCTTGAAGTGCAAACCTTCATGGATGAAAATCACCCTCACACAGCTATTGCAAGCCGTGCTGGTGATTATTACACTGACAATGTTGTGAAACACTTTATGCAAGTCATAAAGGAACGAGAGGTACAGGCCACTATGGACAGATATCTTGTGCGAAAGAAGTCCAGTGACTCTGAAGCTGGCCCTAGTGGCATTAAAAAAAGAAGGGAAGTAACCCCAGAAAAGGACTTACTACCTCAAGTCCTAATGGAAGGGGATTCCCCTTCTAAACAGTAAGAAGATAATGCTCTCCCCTCCTCCCATCCCATCAATCATCACCAGATCTTCAATAAAAGTAAGTGTCATTTAATTGTGCATGCCTTTTTCAGTTTGTGTGTATTAAAATTAACATTTCATGTGGTAAAAAAAATTTTTTTTCATA